TTAATAAACTAAAATAAAAACCCGAACCTAAGTTTACTTTTACCTTTAGTTTATTTTAAGCAAAAAAGATATCCCGACGCTAGCTTAAATTATATAAAGCTTATATAAGTTTTCTAAATCTCGATTAATATTAATCCCTTTTAAGAGAATAATAAAAAACTACTTATTAAAATAAGAAGGCCTATATTTTATATAAATAGATAAAAAATAAATTTACTATATTAAAAAAATAACTATAGTTTACTTTTTTTATAAAATAAAATAGTTGGGCAAATTACGAAAGACGTATAACTATTATTAATTAATAAAAAACTCTTTTTTTTATTAAGCCTAATCGATTAGAATATATAAAATAACGTAGGTTTATTAGAAAGTATATAAAACTAAATAAAAAAAAAAGCAGTTAAGCCTAAAGCAAAAGCTTTTAAAAAATAAATAAAGTAAATACTTTTTACGTTTATATTAATTAATTAGATTTTTTTATAATAAAAATATTTATAATAAAATTTAAAAAAAATATTATAGGGCTAATGTGCCGTAATATATATATATCGCTTGTCTTTTTTTTTCTTTTACTCTCAAATAAAATATATATAGCTTAAACAGCCTCGTCGCCGATAATAGACATATCTTTTTTTTCGATCAATCGCTATTATAAGTAACTTTTTTATTCCGTCGCCTTAATTACTTCCGATTAGCTAAAGCCATAAAGTAGCACCTCCTTTACCCTAATACCCTGTCCTAAGACATTACTAATTTTAGGCCGGCAGAATTAAAAAATATAATAGGCGGCAGTAGTATTAGTACTGTTACTGCTATTACTACTACTGCTATTACTACTGCTACTTTTAAAAATATTTAATTTATTACTACTATAATAGGCGTAAAAGCGGCAATATATTAAAAGATAACAACTATTTATTATTAACTTTATATTCGAGTTTTATAAATTCTAATAACTATATATATACGTTAATAGAAAGTAGGTACTTCCTTATTTATTATAATAGTAATAAACATAAATATTACTTAATATATCGGTTTAACAGTTAGGAAAAGCCGGTTTACGTATATAAAAAGCTTAAAAACCTTTTTTTTTAATATAATTACTATATCGGGCGTTACTTCGCTACACCGGGCCGCAAGCTTAAATATATATAACTAAAATGTTTTTTTATAAACTTTTAATTAATATATAAGATATAATTAAAGCGGCTTATTATACTTATAGTTAGCGCGGCTTTTAATAATAGCGAAAGGGCAAAAATTAACTAATCGTTTTAAATTTGTAATTAAGAGGTTATTAGCGACTAAATCTAATAACTTTACGATAAGGCTATAGTTTAAGCGGGGGTAAAAAACGAGATATAAATAAACTACCGAAATAGCTTTTTATACTATTTAGCGGCCTATAATATAATTAATTATATCCGGATATATTTAATTATTTGATATAAATTTATAAATATATATAAAAGGTTACGCGGCATTAGCGCTCGCAATAACGGGAACGCGGTGTTATGGCACAGGGATTAGGTACGGGATTTAAGGTGTGGTCTGTGCGCATGTTACGTAATCACAGCTTAAGCCTCACACCTGACATGTATGGTAAATTTCTCGGCCGACCTTTTAGCTTAGATTCCTTCTTTTCTCCTTTATCTTAGTATTTCACAAAATACACAGGAATTAGGTCGCCAAGCCACCTTGACCCTTGTAACACGTGACACGCGGAATATTATTTTCCGAAAAAAGAATATTATAAAGGTCGGTAATAGCGGCTATAATAATAATAATAATAATAATAGTAATAGTAGTAGTAATAATAATAATAGCGGCAATAAAATTAGTTTAAAAAGGTTATAATTAGTAGGTTTAAGTCTAATAAATATATAATTATATTTATATTTTATTTTATTACTTTAATATTATATATATACGCAATTATATATATAAATTCCGATAGCGAAAATAATAAATTAATATATATAATTACATATATATATATATAATAAAACTAGTAGTTAAATAATATATATAGCCGAATAACTATATATATATATAATTACGTATATATATATATAATAAAACTAATAATTAGATAATATATATAGCCGAATTATTATATATATATATAATTATATATATATATAATTAAAACCAGTAATTAAATAATATATTTATATAGTTAAATTATTATAATATATATAATTATATATATAATTTATTAGCCTAACAACTTTAATTTAATAATAATAAATAAGAAATAACTAAATAGTTTAATTACTTTAAACGCTCCCGTATTAAATTCGCGTTTAAATTATATTATATAAATAATATTATTTCTAGTTATATTAGTAAATATAAGCGCAAAAAGGCAATTACCTAGCCAATCGGAGCTTCCGGCTTTTAATTACCGTATAAAATTGGTGGAGTAGCGAAATAGCCAATATATTACGCAAAGGTCAAAATCTGCCCTGTGCCGTATATGAATAGGTGCTCCGTTAACGACCCAATTTATAGAACTTGATCCTTGGCAGACGGGTCTTCCCGCATCCCACGCATGTAACCTTATGTTTCTATTCTTGGCACATGGTCTAAACTTGGAATGATCTGTGTAGAAAAGAATAGTTGCCAGATTGCGTGGAAGGCCTCGTTATTTTAATCAAAGGTCTCGATGATAGCCCGAGTTGGTAATAATAGGAGAGGCTGTTTAGATCCTAGTCGAGCCTAAGAGTATATTTTGGGTACAATTAATACAGCACCGCCTTGCTTTGTGATTACAGAGCTCTACGATCCAAGATCCTCTCAAGAAAAGGAAAATCCACGGCGTTTTATAACGAGAAATAGCATATAAGCCTGGAGATTACATATGAGTCACTTAGCCTTCTGACAATGACTGCGTTGGTGGCCATTTCCAATTCGATGCGACTCCAAACAGTTGGTGAGTCCTCTCTTTAAATCATGCAATAACATGGCTGGAGAGGACGGAGATAAATAAATCGCAAACTATCTTCCTAGATAAATGTTTGCTAACGCACTTTCACATGTTATACATAGGGTGGCTTAGTCAAAGGGCTCATATTGAGTCATACTTGAATGAAGTTTGTGCAAATTTGGAGCGTTAGGAAATTTACAACATAGCAACTAACACGCGCGCATCTGTTACGAATCATTTCAGTCATCCCCCTCGTTCACCTAGAAAAAGAAGTCAACCAGGGATTTCTTATGAATCGGAGTGAATATTCATGATACATCAGGTTCCAGCTCATTCTAACGAGCATATCTCTACATCGTTTTATCGCAGCTGGCCTCCGATAGGACCTTGCCACTTAGAGGGCTTACGGTTTGTTTTCATGATATAGCACTAGAGTCCAGGTATTATTAAACAGTGGTCAATGGAACAAAGGCTCCAGGTTACCAATTATATTATCAAGCAGTCTATGACACCCTTGAGAGCATGGTGTTTTATAGAAAACACTTAGTAATGTGTTATAGATAGCCACGGAATGGCTACTATGCTGATATGCTAGTAGGTAGTCAATCTGCTATGCCAGAACATAGATATCACAACAAATCAGAAAGAGATAATTGCCTTAGTGAACGCTTTGAATGATGTATACAATATACATATTGATATATAACCAAAGTTCCTAAGTCCCCCAATATAGTCATGTGTACGGAGTAGGGTGCCTTTATGCTAATCATTTTATTCTATCTATCAATGGTGAAAACCGCATTCCCTTGAGTAGAAGAGCAAGAAAGAAACTTTAGGGATCGGTTTGCTTTGGACGATAATGTGATTCATGTTCTAAGCTTCGTTGGAAATGACGATGACAGGATTGTGGGTTATCAGGCCAGCTTCTTTTGCAAAGGGTCAGATACGTGGTATTAAGCCACAACATGGAACTTAGCCACAATGAAATTAACCAATACCTAACTTAGGATTTGGGATTGAGGATAGCATAGACAATCAGACCCTGGCACAGGACACACGAAACAGTCATGGTGAATCTGACGTATGCAGCAAACTAGACGGTTAAAGTAACACAACTGCACATCCCGCGCGTGATATCCTTCAGCTGAGAGCGGACTTATGACATTAATAAGAGGGGGAGGGGGCGTTTGTGTTTGTGCGATGGATGGGGTTGCATGACTGCAATCCCACGATCCCATATTATCGAGATTTGGCGTAACGTGTTCAGATCCTGTCGAGATCCGGCGATGCGCCACCGTGTCCAATCCGGGGATGCGGGATACTTAAGCCCCAAGATCTGCTCGGAGCCAATACATACGACCCACGGAATTGTAACCATGAAGGCAAGCGACATCCGCTGCAAACTTACAGATCTGTTGGTCTACTGAGCTTTAAATCCCACCAAGTCTGACTAGCACCTGGCTGACTGGCTTGTGATTTCGAAGCGCATCCACTTCTATGACATGTAAGTGTTCCCGAACCAACCAAATTTGACTTTTTCACCTCGATCCATGAAGCGAAGATGTTCGCAATAGGTATTGACAGTCCAGGCCAATCTGCTATTATGTATGCATAGCACGTTGCACGCCCCAGCAGACTCATTCTGGATGCTGCGCGTACCTCACAACACATCTCACACCCCGCTCTTGCGGGGTTTCGAGGGTTTCATACTCGGCGGTCACCAGGCGACTCTTGTGGATGAACTCTGGATCGGCCTGCTGGCGCTGGAGGCAATATTGATTACCAGTGTCTTGGGCTTCCGGGTCTTCAACGCTGTAAGTGGGTCAAGAAGTTGTAGAAATTTAGCAATAAATAGGAACATGAATGAAAAAGAACACTGAATGAGTTGTGCTTTTATGGAGGGGTAAATCCGCCATCTGATACTATGCCTACCGTACTGTAATCATCTTGGCGACACGGGAATTCTCCACCATCAGTCATGTCTACAATTACTTGACAACATAGAAGACTCGACTAAGCCAGAGAAGAAGCAAAAAAAGAATTCCTAAATTCTAAGGAGATGCTGTGGACAATCTGGGAATTGAACCCAGGCTAAGTATTTCTGTTAGCCAATCATTTCAACATAGTTTGTCTGGACCTAGACTTACACCCTCTGCATGCACTATTGATCGTCTAATGCGAAGCAGATATCATACCCCTAGACCAATTGCCCGACCAGATGCGCTATGAAAAAGACGGTTGTCTAACACTGCTCTTATGATAAGCCCTGCTGGCTTAAGAGATCGTGAAGGAGACTGTTACTACCCAATCTTATCCGGCCCAACTGTTATTAATGAAGCTCGGCGACTTCTCACTAAAGCATATACTAAGCGATTCGATTCGAATTATCTAAAATGAGAGTAAGCTTAAGATGCATAGACTGTGAACATTTACAAGTTCTGCTGTGAAACTCACTTAGACATGCGAGAGGGGCTAAATAACAGTTAATATTCAACTAAAGTGTAGCAAAATTAGCTGACATAAAGCGATGTAAGAACACATCGGACAGACCGGACTAGAAAAAATTAAATATTCAGAGTTTTCCCGTTCCAACTCGGTCAAAATGAAAACCATAATCTAGCAAAAATAGAAAAAGATGGACATTCTGGGAATTGAACCCAGGACCCTCTGCAGACACTATATGTTTAGATAGCGTGTATCTAAGTGCGAAGCAGATATCATACCCCTAGACCAAATGCCCGAGCTAGACGAACCAGGATTCGCTGATGGAATGTTGATCGCGATAATTGATATAGAAGCTCTGATCGCTCTGCGACCGCCATGGATATGTCAATGAGGACACAGATAGAGCTTACTTTGGTGAATGTCTTCTAATAGACCACTTACCAATTGATAGAGGAGATTTCACCGAGTGCATAGAAGAAACTGCGCAGTAGGTTTACTTGAGGGAGGGCCTGCAAAGGTTGTGAAGAATATGCTGGTCGGCCACTGAGCCACCTTGATTGAAATTGAGAATTCACCGATAGTGACTAGGTTAAATATTCCATGGTGATGAGGCGCAACCTCATATTGAATTGTGCATTATCAGCCTCTATAGTAAGTCCTTGACTTGATGCAATAATTAGGAGGCACTGGGCGGATGAGAATCAGTCTAAAATCAAGTATAGAAATGACAATCACAGAGTCACAGTTAAACATGTCTAGGTACGGCCAGGCAAGTAAGAACATTGAGTCATAACGGGCTGAGCTAGCACATCGAGTCTCCAAGGTTCTCTGTCTATCTACCTGCAAGGTCTGAAATGAGAAGAGGAATCGTTGACTCGGGTTAAACTTGTCTGTGGATGAGATACGGAAGGCGAAGAAAGCAGCAGCATTTCATATTCCAAGTCCTGCGGCGACTTGTATTAAATCATTGAGCCTGAAACAAAAAAATTTCAGGAAGGAACACTATCTGAGTATTGCCTCAATAGTATTGCCTCAATACTAGGGGAATGCAAAGTACTTTTCTGAATGCGCGTGATGTCCAGCCTAGCAAGGCGATATACGTACCCCTGAGGCGAGGCGTGATGGCCAAAATGGGTGCTTGGCCCTCGATCAAGTGACTTGTCGATATGGACCTAATTGCCTAATGCCTCATTTGATGAGGACGAGAACATGCTTCACGTCAGCTGAAAATTCCTCGTATACTATCATTGATATTGGTTATTAAGATTACTGGTGTTGTTGGAAAAGCCACTTGGAGGAGGACAATACGACCAAGATTATGACACTTGTATATTTCGACCTGGATGTCTCGAGAAAGAACATAAAAAAGACTTGGCAAGATTGGACATAAAAGGATAACCCTAGGAAAAGAGTTTCAGAAGCAATACCACGATCCAGTAAACGCTTGGAAAGGAGAAGACAGAGATTTCTTGGACTCCTCTCGTGGATCAGGGGCTGCAATAAGCCAACAAGATGTGCTACTCAATTGTTATTACGAACACATATTCAAGTTATCTCCCATGAACTTGGTCCTAGGTTAGTCTTGTATTTACATACCCGAGCACTCGACAATCCATTACACAAGCAATGCAAAACACGCAGAATCCTTCTTCTCGACACCATCTACATGTATATCACACACTCTCATAAAAAAAGCCAAAATCAATAGTCCAGAACCGTCGCAATAGATAGGCGAGTGTATTTATTATTTCTTTCAAATCATCACGCGTTACCGAGGTGCGTTGCTCTCCGCCTCCGAGCTGTAAAATACACAGTATTATATGCCAAAACCTCTACCTCTCTGTAGGGACCTACTTGTATAGTTCCTACACGTCGAAAACCCACCTGAAAACTCCGCACAACGCCTGATCGCCGCTTTCTCCCGTATGGTGTGGTGTGGTATGAGGTATATACCCTAGTTGGTCATTGGTCTGCTTTAGCGACAGCCCTTTTACCTACCCCTTTCTTTTTTTTTCTTTCTTTCTTTCTTTCTTTCTTTCTTGCCCTCGCGAGCTACATGCAGCTAGCCCTCTCACGCCTGCAGCTTCTGCTGCGCCCTCTCCAGCCTCGCCCGCTCGCGCACGTCGCCGCCGGACGCGCGCCACCAGACGTCGCAGCCCCAGCGGACGGCGCGCTCGACGGCGCCGCTCGGGGTCATGGCGGGCCGGACGTCGAGGTAGAAGACGGGCTCGCCGGTGGGCTCGGGCGGGCCGGAGTAGTAGTCGATGACGTAGCGGACCTCCTTGCGTTGGCCGTCGGTCTCGCGCGAGACGTACCAGTCGTGGCGGTCGAAGGGGGGTTCGGTGCTGCAATCGTAACATCCGTCAGCAAATACTTCGGTCTAGAGAAGACTCAAGAGGAGACATTTGACTTGGGTTGTAAAACTTACGCAAACGCTCCCGGGTACAGCCACCCCATAACCTGGATCATAGCAGCCTTGGGCGTCATCTCGCTAGGCCGGCCCTGGAAGCGAACGAGGCTGGGGCTGAGCTCGACAATCTCCCTCTCGCATCCGTACTTCCTGGCCATGTCCTCGAAGTGCTGCTCGCCGCGGCTGCACAGGCGCCAGCCGCGGTACAGGCCGCCGGCGAAGCGGCGCTCCCAGTCCATGATCTCGGCCCAGGCGCCCTCGTTGAGGAAGTTGTGGACGGAGACCATGCTCTCGACGGCGGTGACGTCGGTGTCGGTGTAGCCCTTGCGCAGCAGCGCGTTGTACATCTGCTGCGGGCTCGGGTACTCCCAGTTGCCGTCGCCGTCGCCGCGCGGGATCGTCGACGGCTCGCGCGACGTCGGCAGCGCCTGCGTCTGGTGCGGCGCGGGGGCCTGCGAGAGCTCGCGGAACATGTAGTTCAGCGGGTTCAGGCGCGAGAAGGCCGATTGCGGGTGCGACTCCGACGGGTCTTCGGTATTTGTGGAAGTGATGTAGGCGGCTCGTGATTCGTGCGGTACGGGGCACGCTGAGGGAGGAGAAGGAGGGACGGATGAGGATGCGGACGGACTATTGTGCTTTACCGGACAACTACTGGGAGGAAGAGGAGGGGGAGCCATCGCGTTGGCGGCATTCTGGTGCTTGTGCATCGGACATCCTGGCTGGAGGCAATCAGAACAATTAGAATGTGCCGGAGAGAGTGCTGGCGATGGATTACACACTTACCGGTGGTGATCTCGGCCCATCTTGTGGTATGGAAAACGAATAGTGTGAGAAAGCGGATTGGGATTTTGTATTGGAGGATCCGTCTGCCCAGAACCAGCCCATGGTGATGATGGGACAGTGTTACGATGATGTAGACGTATGAGAGGGACACTGAGGATGAGTAGTTGATATAGTTGATATGGAAAAATCTTGGAAAATCTAGGTTATCGTCATGGACGTCGCAACCCTTTTTTCTTTCTTTTTTTCTTTCTTTTTTTCTTCTTTTTTTCTTCTTTTTTTCTTCTTTTTTTTATACGGCGAGTATGTATGTAATCGTCAAGGTTGATGGCAAAAGACGGCGTCGGGCAGAGCGAAAATGACCGCCCCCACTCCACTATAAACCACCTGCAATGGACTAGCACATGCTTAGCCGCATATCTGCCGGAACTCTTTAAGACAATAATATCATCTAATCCGTGTGTCATCTGTATGTTGAACTTTATGCTCCAAAGGGCATGATATAAGTGGAATTACATCGGTTTACAGTCATACCAGCGTATCCACTCCTACCACTGTACCGGTTTCCATGATCAGCTCGACCGGGATCTGTTATCGCCCAGATAAGCACGTACAGAATACTGTACGTCACTGTTCGCGATTCTCATCGCCAATTCGCGTGCCTTCCGAGCTTTCCAGGAACACCATCAGCACGTGCATCTCCAACTCCAGGAAGGCAATGAATTAATTCAAGTTCCCTGTGTTGTTGATATCGTGCAATTGGACTACATAATACTGTAGCTGAGATTAGACTTGCCCATCATGCTAACTCCTTCGTTCTGCTCCCATCCTCAGTTATTATAGAACAGTGATGCGGCCGGCCGTCTTCCTCGGCCGGTTCTGCGCGCCCCGGAGTGTCCTGAAAGCGAACAAGACCGCCGCCAACCTCGGCCGGTGGCATTCTACCTTCTTTCGATCCCGGCTGTCATTCGGTCCGGCACCATCATGGCGGAACTCTAGAGTTAAAACTAGAGTTCTCAAAGCGGCTGCCACCGGCGGCGCCCTCGGAACCGCCGCCTTCGTGAAGCTGTCCGAGAAGGACAATGGGAACACAGAACATACCGCCGAGGGGCGCATGCTCAAGGTGTCGCGGGACGAGCTGAAGAAGACGGTGGAGGATGACGAAAAGGGGCTGTCTCGCTTTGGACACAAGCTCGTCATCTTTCTGGACGTTTACTTGTGGGAGCCCCTATGCACCGGCGTGCGCTTCGTCCAGCTGGTTTTCATATTCGTGCCCGTCATCCTGTCCGTGCCGGCAATATGGATTGGGCCCCGCCAGCCGAGCCACGATGACGAGAGATCGGGCACATTGTGGTGGTACGGCTTTTTGGTAAAGAGCATGGAGGCCGCGGGCCCGGCGTTCATCAAGGTGTGCCTACGGCGACATCCCCATCCCTAAACTCATCATCGGCTAACCTACGTATACATCGGACAGCTTGGTCAATGGGCTGCCTCGAGGACCGACATCTTCCCTAGCGAGATGTGCGATATAATGTCTAAGCTTCATGCTAATGCGCCCGCGCACTCCCTGCACGCGACGAAGCGAATAATAGAGGCCGCCTTCGATGGCAGAGACTTCGAAGACATATTCGAGGAGTTCCACGAGACGCCCCTGGGCGTGGGCGCCATCGCGCAGGTGTACAAGGCCAAGCTGAAGCCCGACCTCGCGGTGCCGGGCGACGTGGACGTCTTCGATACCCGTACCAACATTCGGCAGAACGTCCGCCGGAAGGTGAACACCGTGCTGAAGAGCACGCCGAAGCGCGTCCCTTCGTCGTACGTCGCCATCAAGGTCCTGCATCCGCGCGTCGAGCGCACCGTCCGACGCGACCTGCGCATCATGCACTTCTTCGCCTCAATGCTGAATTTGATCCCGACCATCGAGTGGCTCTCCCTGCCGGACGAAGTGGCGCAGTTCGGGGAGATGATGAAGCTGCAGCTCGACCTGCGCATCGAGGCCGCCAACCTCGCCAAGTTCCGCCGCAACTTCAAGGACCGCACGACGGCGTGGTTCCCCTTCCCCTACCTGGAGTTCACGACGCGCCAGGTCCTGATCGAGGAGTTCG